CAGGAATATTTAGAAACAGACAACTGAGCACTCAGCTGCCACACTGTGGAATTGCTACTTTACAGAAAGCCACGTGTGAAAACTCAGACTGCGGCACCAAGCGCTGAAAGAGACTGTAGTAAACATGCAGGCCCTACACAGCAGCTATGCCCTAAAAGAACTGACTTAGCATCAAAACCCTGCTGTTCCCAGAAATGCGCCATAGCCTTCTTACTAAGAGTCTTTCTTTTCTCATGCAGTGCTCCACCCACAGCTTGGCCAAAAAAAGCAAGTTTGCTCGTACAAAGGCAGATCCAACCTCTGTTAATGAATTTGGAATGCACATTAGTCACAACTATGGTTAAGAGAGGAAGCTATTCCACTGTGGAGCAGTTACCAGGATTTTTACACTGCAGCTGCTATGACCAGGCAACACCTGAGAGAAGCAGCCTTTGCAGCCACAGCACTGGGCAGAGTCTGCCATTTGCTTGTACAGACTTCAGACTGATTGTCTGACTACAAGACCTTGGAAAAGTCTCTTAGCCTTTTATGCATCTCTGATTTGCCATGTGTAAACTGCGAGTATATGTAGTAGCAGGTCCATGCACGAGGCATGGGGGCTAGTGTGCTCCCCTTTGGCTGTGCACAGAAATTTCAGAGCTCACTGCCCAGTCAGCATGAGCTCCTGTCAGAGCTCTGCATGAGATGTGAGCTCCCCAGCTGATCAAGGAAGGGTCCAGCCACAGCCCCTACTTTTATGCATCTTCAGAACCCAGAGCATCAATGCTGCTGCTGCTCCTCCCTCTCACCCTCCCCACTGAGTGACATGACAGAGGCAGCACTCACCTGCTGGACTCCAGGAGCAGCATGAAAGCCAGGACTCCTGGCAGACCCAGCACTGACAGCTCACATGACACAGCCCAAACAGGGGTGCAACCATGCTGCCGCACTTCCTCTGGATCCACTCCTGGATGTGTGCAATCTTTCCTTGGCCTGCCCTTCTATAGCATCTGACAGAACAGGCTGTTGCCTCTAAAAGCCCACGCTTCTCTGAACCAGCTAGTCTGTAAGGTGTCACCTACCACCTCAAAGGAAGGTTGCAAGGCTTAGTTTATGGCATGCAAAAAAGGAAGAAAAACAGGGAGATTCACAGATTCAAGGTTTAGTGACAGGCAGGACAGCATCAATACACCTTCAAATCCTATCTAATCACTGAACAAGCAGATATTATTCTGCATCTCTTTTGCCCTTTTTGCCAAAGGAAAAATACTTCCTGTGAGGAAATGAGATGCTATAATCATTAGATTGCATCTTCACTGAAACACATTATAGAGGAGAGCACTGCAAGAGAAACTAACCTGGAAACAAACAGTGAGGCAAGGAAAAAGGCTATTGTATGGTTATGGAAACTAAAATAAATGAAGCAGGTGCTCTGAAGCCCAACCCACTGTTTACTCTGTAGCAGCCACAGAAGTTGGTACCATCCTCTGATAAGTGCTTTGTCAGAGATGAAGGATGTCATACAGATGAATGAATAAGTAATGTTACGTGCTGCCTATCCCTTGTAAATGGCAATGGAGTGAGGAGGCTGATACTCACAGCATCTGCACAAGGCTGGATCCTGTACAATGCAGCTACCGAGAGCTGTTTGGAGAGATGCAAAGTAAAAAGCAGGGTGGGAGACAGGGCTTCGGGTCCAACCCTCTGGAACCGCATCACATAATTCCTTTATAGTGATCGTGGTGGGCGGTGGGGGGAAGGGGAGTGCTGTTAATTCTGCATTAACAGGAGGTGCTGCTCGCAGCTGCTAAGTTATTCCTGTCTAGGAGGAGGGACGCACTAAAGCCTGCTCCTCAGACAAGCCTGTTCTCAGCCTCCCCCGGCACCTTGTTTCCTCATCCTGTGCAGTGCTAAGGCAGCAGACAAGCCATTAGCTGCTTGTTCTGGATCTGAAGGAAGAATGCCAGAGGCAGCATTATGATCTTCAAAAAGCAGAAGTATCCAGAGCCAATGGCTGGGGGGAGGGTGGGGGGAGAAGGGGAATCTAAAGACTGCTAAAACAGTCTGTACGAACCGCTTGTTGGTGGGAGACAAAAAGGGATGGTCTTTGCATCTCCTGGTTCCTACTTCTGCTGCTGGCAATCCCAGAACACAGGTCTGTTACCTGCTGCAACCCTTCTAACAGTGAGCAATAGGGGCAACTTCAGTGTTCAAAGCACAGTCCAAACTCCAAGGAACAGTGGCACAGCCCCATTCACACCCAAGTGAGACATCCTCCAGCAGCCCCTTCTCCTATACCACCTGCACCCAGCAGACACCACCACCAGCTTTTGGATCCCAGTGGCCAACTGAGAACAGCAATGAAGAATTAGCCTGGGTGTGGTTTCATTTGGGATTTGATCTGATCTACTGTTAATTAGGCAACATGTGGGTGTGCTGCAATTAGGTACTAGCCTGAGGCTTTGCATCACATAGGACTCCATAGGAACAATGGGATTAGATGCTTATATGCACAGGTATCTCAGCTAAACACGCTAGCTCAGGTACATCTAAACTAGTGATTCTCAAAGAGGGTGCCCACAGCACCCTGGGGTGCATTCAGATCCTTTCAAGGGTTCTGTGGGGTGTGACAATATTATCGCTGTTAGGTGTGCAAACATGATCCACAATGTAAACCCAGGGATTTCAAATAAAAATCCATAGTTGTGGTCTTTCCAAGCTTGTTACAACAGAAAAAGACTGATGTATTATTTTTCTGTAGTCCAAAAAATTTAAAACTAAGAGCCAGCAGTTTTGAGGGCCGCCTCAAGTCTAAAAAGGCCGAGAACCACTGACCTACACTATGGTGCAGTATTCAGTAGACACATCTGCTCCATCAGGGCTCCACTGTCTGGGACAGAATATAGCAAATCCCAGACTTTGACTAGAAAAACCTTTGTTCCTTGTTAGCCCAATAACTAATTGCCCCATTTAGATCTTCTTTTCAGATCCACAGGAGTGAAAAAAAGTCCACTTCTCTGTCCACAGCTTTTGAAAAATTAAATCAGAGCCCATTAATATTGGTTTTCAGTACAGCCAGCTTTTACTGCCAAGCCCTCTACGGCCACACACATGCAAGCGTGGATGTTTGTTTCCCTAGGGACAAGAAGCAGCAGCACTTGTCCCCAGGGAACGTCTGTGCCATGCACCCTCTGGTACGCAGCAAGTTACTCCAGGTGGGGTAGGGGAGGCTGAAGCCAGCACTGGGCTGTCCCCAGCAGCCCTACCTGGGATCCGAGGGCTGCAGCAGCAGTGATCCTGCTGCTCAGAGCCTGGCTGGTAGCCAGTGTGGCTCCAGCAGGCCAGGCTCTGGTTTTGGGTGGCACGCGCTTTCCCTGTGTGCACTGCTCCAATTATTTATTTTTTTTCACACAGGTTTTTTGGATCCCAGGATTTCCTGGGGTCAACCCCCACTCCCTTCAGCATGCAGAACACCTGAATGTGCGGTATGTGGTGCTGCAGACTGCACGGCTGCACTTATCTAGACACAGCCTACATGTCTTTCAAAGGGGTTGCTATGCCCTGTTCTGTCAGATAAGTGCTACAGCAGGTGTTAGGTGATCTTGTCTGAACGCAAGTGGATCTACCAAGACTGGCTACTCTACTCTGCACTCTCGTATCACATTTATCACTGTAGCATCTGAGCTCCTTCCAGGAGCACGTCAAAGATGCACCTAACCTCTAGTAAGTGTTTGTCCTCTCACCTTCTCCCTAGGGGAGGGGAGAAGGAGCATATACCAGAAACTATATTACATCCTTGCATCTGTTACATACTTGAATGTGTTAATTTACATGAGACAAGGTAGGGTCAAAGACACGTCCCTTCAACATGGAGCAGAAGGTAGGGTCTGCAACATCTTCCCCTTTTGGTCAGGGGGGAATTCATTCCCCGGTCTGGAACACCCTTCTCCCCACAAAGCCCCATCTCCCATACAGAGAAGCTTTGCTCTTATTGCAGTATGTTCCTTTGTGCCAGAGGAACAGGGCTGTTGACTCCAGTCTGCATCCTGGAGCTTCAGGGGAGCTTTTAGAAACCCTGGGCCCAGAACTTGGAGCACTGGGAAGATAAGGACCCAAGACCCTGACCCCTCTATCCCATGGGAAGCCAGTGCAGAAATCAGAGGAGCCGAAGTGATGCGCCTGTGGTAACCAGTGCTGCCAAACAGACTTGCTGTATTTTGACTGCCAATACATGTGTTGCTTCAGAAGCCCTGCCGCTGTGCAGTCTGCCTAAACCACTGGGTCCAGACTATGGTAGAGATTCCTGGTGTCCCACAGGGCCATGGTACGTGGTCTGCAGGTGGTTCACAAACAGAACTGGACCATGCATGCCATCACAGTGCTTTCAGTTCAAAGTAGGTTGATAAGGGTGTGAGACAT